AAGAGCCGAAATATTTGTTAACTTAAACTCTTGTGAGTGAGTCACGTTTAAAATGGACTTAAAGATCGCGGACATAAACGGGTCTGTTTTGTAAAAACGAGTTCGTTTAGATCTGTTTATTGATTAAATGTAAACGGGTTTAAACGGGTCAATCCGTTTAGGTCCGATTATTAAACGGGGTTCAACATAATTAAACGGACGGCCCATTTAGGTCCGATTATATAAAGCAAAATCTTTTAGTAATTAAATTGGAATCATAACAAAATCCTTTAGTAATTAAATTTATATGTATTTCCATAAATAAAGCAAAACGAATTTTAACAAATATTTTATTATAGGGGAAATTGCAAAATACCACTTTTTATGTGTCCATTTGCAAAAATGTCATTTAGGGTGTTCATTTGTAAAAATGCCACTAATTATAGATTTTTAAATCATATATCTTAAAATTCTAAACACTGAAAAATGTTTTGACCTCTAAACCCCCCCTAAATCCTCATAACTAAAACCCTAATAGAACATAGTTAACCCAAACATAAATAATATTAAAAAAATATAATTTTGAAAAAGTGACATTTTTGTAAATATTTCAAAAGTGTGGCATTTTTGTAAAGTAGCACTTGAAAAGTAGTATTTTTAAAAAATTCTCTTTATAATATTCCATTTTATTTAAAAAATGTTTAGAAATATTTTATAATATCTTCGTAATTGCATAAATTTAGAACATTTTTGTATATAAAATATATTAAATTAAGTAATATTTTATTTTTATGAAATATTTTTGTTCGTTCAATTTTATTTCTGCAATGTTTTTTAAAATTAAGTAAGTATTCATAAAATTAAAAATACATAAAAGAGATTAAATAAATATTCATTAAATAAGTTATTTGAATTATTGATCTTTTACATATTAATTTCTTATTTTAGTTATAAAATATATAAAGGTATACATAAGTGATAAAATATCACAATATTGTTGTACTTTCTATAATACTAAAAAATTATATTTAGTCCCCAAAACCAAACTCAATGTTGAACCTAGTAAACAAAAAAAATGTATATAAACCTTTTTTGAAATTAAAATATATATTTGATTAAAATTTGAATACAAATTGAACCATATTTTATCTTTTTTATATATGTTTTTAATTTACAAATTCTTATTCATGAACCTAAAAATATGTTAATTACTAAATTTATTTGAATCACATGATTTTTGGTTAATCGGGCTTAAACGGGCAGTAGAAACCCGGCGGGCTTTAATGTAAATGGGCTTTATTCGGGTTCACCTCTAAACGGGCCTAAACGGACCGGGTCTAAACGGGTTCGGGCCTAAACGGGCTGGGCTCCCCAGTTTTAACTAAGAAACAAAAAGCACATTACTGAT